GTTTAGGGTTTAGGGTATAGAGTTGTAGGATTTTTTAAAAAGGTTGTTGAGATTAGGGCTTAGGGATTTAAGGGTTCAGGGTCTAATGTAGGGGCTTTTATTAACATTATATGGTTTTGGGCTCCTTTCTCGTACAGTTATAAATCAATAATAAGAAACCCTAAGGAATAATATTGGTAATTATCTAGGTTTCTATACTACTCTCAGGGGTATTCTGGGGTTCCTTCGAAGGGGATCTTCTTAGGTTTACTACATATATAAGGTGTGTTGTTAGTTATTTTGGCTTCCACCGTCTAGTTCGCGAAGCATGCAGACTAGGCAGTCTACGCTTTGGAACAAGTGCGGCATCCTAGTGCGAGGCGTCAAGGCGGTCAGGAAGCCAGTCTCCATCAACCGTTGTCAACAAAGGCCACAGTCACAACCCTTCACGCATAGCTGATGATAGGCTTGACGAAAGCCCAAAGCCGTAGCGTGCTAAGAGTGCAACGACTACAGGAAGAATCGCATAAAGCCTGAACCCTGAACACTCAATGGCAAGAGTAACAATGCTAACGACCATGTTGGGATTTGCGTAAACGGCAAGTGTATTCCGAAAGAACCGAAACCCTAACCAAAACCCTAAACCCAAAACCCAAAAACCCAAAACCCTGAACCCTAAACCCTAAACCCTGAACCCTAAACCCTGAACCCTAAACCCAAAACCCTGAACCCTAAACCGTGGCTCTCCGAGGCATGTAACGCATGGGTAGTTATCAAAATTATGGTCCCTTTTTGGGGGTACCCTAAATAATAGGTGCCGTATTATAATAAGGACCCAACAAGGGACCATAATTTTGACAACCACCCACATACCTTAAACCCGACCCCCTGCATCCCATGCCCTGGCAAACGCACAGTGCGCCCCCCACCCCATTCGCAGAGAGCCCAATACCCCTTAATGAAGGAATAGGGTTTAGGGTTTAGGGTTTAGGGATAGATTTTCAGTCATAAGGGTTAATATTATGATTTAAGGGTATAGTCCTTAATTAAGGGGTATTGGGCTCTCTGGGTTTATTTTGCTAAGTCCTCCTGGTTTGTATGCTGGCCTCGCCGAGTATCTCGATGCCGACGGCCTGCTGGACCTCAGAGCGAATCGGAAGTGCCCTGAACTGAACCCTAAACCCTAAACCCTAAACCCTAAACCCTAAACCCTTAAAAGGAAACTACAGGTCGGGGGATTAGGGTATATAGGGCTTCTATAAGGCTTCTATAAGGTATATAGACCTTCTATAAGGCTCCTATAACGGTAACTACCCACCTGAAAATGTCCTAGACTGAACCTCCTGGCAGGGCCCCTGTGAGTAAGTGTCGTGTGATGCAACTCGCACGAAATCCGAAACCCAAGACCCCAAAACCCTCAACCTAAACCCAAAGCCCAAAAAAACAAGCCTAAACCCCTCGACCCTAAAACACGGGAGCATCCACTCTCTCTCTCTCTCTCAATTTCTTGGAGGGGCCCCATCAGTTTAGGGTTTAGATTTTAGGATCAGTTCGATAAGCAGCTGTAGACGAGAATCGGCAAGAGCCACACAAACACCAACGACGTCGGACTCATGATTCAGCTGCTAAGGGGGTCGGAATACATGGTAATAACATGCCCTTATCGCCCACTATGCCAGAACATACCCCGAGACCGTCTGCAATTCTTAAAGCGCCTTAGGTTTTAGGGTATAGGCTTTAGGTTCTAGGGTTTAAGGTTTAGGTTTTAGGGCTTCGGGTGGGCAAATCCCAAAGCAGGACCTCCACCAAAACCCGGCCTCACTCACGAAGGTCGGGTCAACGTAGATGGCCGTGTCCTAGGACGCAAGGCTTGGGTTTAGGGTGTAAGCATTAAGGGTTCTGGATTCAGGGCTTTCAACTACAGTAGGTTGCCATACCCTCAAGCTGACACTCTGACACTGCCGCTGCGTCTATATACTATATTCTATACGCACTTGGGGGCTGAACAAGGGGGACTAGCCATGCTGTAGAGAGCATTTGACAATAATTATTCGATACTGTTAGTAAACTTCGTAAATAAGTTCCTCTTAGGCTTAAAAGGGAACACACAAAATGCTCCAAAGGCCTACCTAGGCGGTTCAGTTGCTGTGGCCCAATTTGCAACAGGCAAAGGACAGCTTCAGACTGGGAAAGGGGTTACGATAGTCTTGCATGACGGTCTTATGAGGGGTTCTCTGGGTTCTTCGAAGTCGTCTTTATACACCCATCCTACTGAGCGTTGTTGGCCAAAGGCCTGCACTGCCTTAAGTTGCCC